AAGCCTATTGTCCTTTGAGACAGTAGAAGCAGCAGTGGTTGCTCTTGTAGGAGGACAGTTCCAGTTTCCTCCTAATACTGTCCTTGTCAGTGCTGTATATGCAGTATCACTCTCCAAGCCTCTCCTCAAACAACTCAAGTTAGAGATACAGCACTGTGTTGATTTAATAGGACGACCAGATCTTGCACAATACTTAAAGTTTGCTATAGCTCCAGTCAACACACCCAGTCTTCCTTACCTGTTCAAGTTAGTAGAAGGAGGAGAGTTTAGCTCTAATAGTGGGTATGGATCCATTCAACGTAAAGAATTCTGCTTGGTTTGTATACTGGGGGAAGAATGGACTAATGGAGGAGGGAATGGTGTCCCTGTAGCATCAGTTAATGGAGACATAGAGGAAGGAGAGGAGGAACAGGAAGAAGAGCAACCACAACAAGAGGAGAATGAGGAGGAGGAGGAGGAGGAGGAGGAAGGGGAACAGCAACTACAACATGAGGAAGAAGAAATTGAGCAGCAACAAATCCAAAAGGTGGAGGAGCAGGGGAACAATGAGCATGAAGATGTTCAGCAGGAACAGGAAGGAGAGGAACAGCAACAAGAGGAGAATGAGGAGAAGGAGGAGGAAGAGGAACAACAGCTACATGTACAACATGAAGAGGAAGAATTTGAGCAGCAGGAAGAGGAGTTTAATGAGTTTCAGGAACAACAAGAAGAGGAGGAGGAAGAGGAGCATAAAGATGAAGATGAGAATAAAGGAGATGATTGTTCTAGTGATTCCTCCAGTGAGTCTAGCAACACTATCGGTACTCTGGAAGCTAGTGGAGCTGCTATAGGTCAGTTGGTAACTACAGTCAAACCTGCCTCTAAAATAAGGACACCTTTATATAATCATGCATACTAGCAGTCCCAATATGATGTTTATTAATAAACCTCTGAAATAAAGACAATTCCATAATCTATTGTTCTCCCAAGGTGTTGAGAAGAGACAAGTTTGACTGTATATAGTCAGCTAGTTTGTGCACATTGTGATGTAGTTATAACAGAAATATATTTTATACATGAAGTGCATATGCATGCTCTATTGGGAACAATAACTATTGTATAGCCATTATTCACTTCCTACTGTTATATACACATGTAGGTTATCATAAACTACAAGATGTGCAGATATGTGAAAAGAGGCATACTGAGATAAAAGAGGAAATGAATTATACCATTTTGGTGTATTATCATGGAGATTTAGTAATATTTACTTCAGCTAAAAATTTAAATGCTCTCATTCAGGTAAATTAAGATGTAAGTAATACAATGTATGTTATAATGTTTTAATGTATAGTATATTAAGAAAGAATATTCCCAAGCTACAAAGGGAGCAAAGGCACCATTTAAATTCCAACAATCATGTATCGAGTTGAAATTTGATGTTGATTTGATAAATGGATCGGAAATTATGCCCCACACTAAACCCTGCATAGTAAGCACTTATGAATAATTACAAGTTGCATGTAGCTATTCTAGTTACATCGTTGTGATGTTGATAACTTTTGTGATGTTAATCTTATTCCTCCGTATTGCCTGGTAACACTTTATGCATCTCCTGATGCTTCTCCCACATTACGTTATCCAGTACAAGTGGAGGGTACAGTTGATCCTGTGACACTATATATTATTAAAACAACTTCTCAATTAACAAGTAATTAATTACATCAGTTCAATTGTTGTTAT